TTGTCCGATCCTAACAAACCATACATCAATGGAAAGCTTATTTATTAGAAAAAGAAAAATTGACCCTTATGACTGGTTTTGTGGTCCAGGGTCACATATGTTATCGTCCATTATTGTGGGCACTTACATAGTTATCTTTATATTTATCATTCTTGGTGTGATCGGGTCTGGACCACACAATCAGCTGTTGTGAAAAAGAAGTGGCTTAACTGTATTGCATGTGCACTTGTATTTTAAATCATAAAAGTATCTTAAAATGATAAAAGGCCACTTAAGTAGACGTCACTTTCATGACTATGTTTCTAAACACAATTAGGTACACTTTAAAAAGTGCACTTTTGTGTGCAAAAGTGTAAATAATACGTAATCATGTATTCTATAAGAAGTAACTGATTACAGTAACTGTAATCTAATTATGAGCACTTTAAAATGTAATATAATCTAATTACAAGTACTTAATTTTTTGAATCTGATTACGTAATCCCTCCTTCAGTGTACTTTTATTGTTTTGCCTGTTTAATTGTCCGCCATGTGAAATGCGCAAGTCTGATACCTTAACAACACCTCTTTTCATGATTTGGGGTATGATCCATGTCTTTAGCACAAACTGTTCAGGATAAGTTACGCACTGATGAGCTCGTCTTAGCAAACACTGCTAATAACAGGTTAGCGTAGACTATCAGCACCTTATAAACTTTGTAGATGCTCTTGCATAGCAAGGAAGGAACAAGCCCTGTTGAAAAAGGGAAGTAAGTGAATGTTATCTACAGAAAAACAGCACATTCACCCTGAGTGGCAAAGTGCTATAAGATGATCAGGCCAAAGTGGAACTGCTAGCATCTAGCGCGCAAGTACACAGGACAATGACCCACAGTGCAGGCAGGCCGCAAGTGAGAAACGAAAGAGTGAAGGCATGCAGAAATGAGCGCCAGCCGTCACAGGATCGCCTACTCAGTAACAATACACATGACTTATAGGGGGAGGCAGAAAAGTTGTTAAACCTTAGAAAATAAGTTAATGTAAGCAAAAGCTGCTTATGTACAGCTGGTATACACTGTGGCTTGATGCATGTCAGGCCAACTGCCACTGAGATAAAAACTATGATTTCATAGAATTTTCAGAAGTTAGCCAATCATTAAAGAGGTCATTTACATAAAGAATTCTTAAAGATACAGTAACAGAGTGGAAAATGATTAAAACGAAATGAACTTTGATGGAAGAAACCTTGACCAGCATGAACGCTGAACTGACTCGAGCTGAATAACAAACAACATTGCTGCCTTTTGTAGAACTACTTATAGCTGAATTGAACTCGATTCAAAATGGATGAACTTCACACTGTTATTGATCTGAACTGAAACAACTGACTTAAGCTAAATAATGACAATATTGTGCTTTAAAGCTGCTTTACAGCAGAATCTGAATTGTCTTTATAGATGATTGATTCTGTTATTTTCCTGTTTATCTTTGTGAAGCTGCTTTGAAACAATCTGTATTGTATAAAGGGCTATAGAAATAAAGGTGACTTGACATGACTAACAATAAAACGACATGGAAAAACTTAATTTCGATACAAAAGTGTGTAATATGATCCCCTTTCCCTGCGTTTTTTTTTTTTTAAACCAGCCTAAGCTGGTTTGCTGGTCTTAGTTGGTCATCCAGCCTTGTCTGTTTGCTTGGTTTTGGGACTTCTCAGCTAAGTTTAAACTGGTTTCAGCAGGTTTTTTAGCAGGCTTAATTGTTTGTGGAAACAGCGTTTGATTAAATCACATTCGCCCGCCAAAAAATGTAAAAAGACAAAAGCAATTCATAAGAACTTGCGAAGAGAAATTCCCCGGTGACTATATATGCTACACACAGAAAGCTTTGGATTTCCATTTGATGACTTTGGTGGTTGATCTCTGCCGTTTGTTGCCAAAGCAATGTTCAGTCAGTAAGTTTCACACTGAATAGAGTTCCTCAGAGAGCTTAACTTCTTCCCAGAATAAGGCTTCTACAATGACTAATATTGTGCATATAGGGCTTTATTCTAGCTTCTGAGTAATATAGAAGCTAAGAAGGCCCCTTTTCAGTGTACTGAAATGAGTAAACATTGAGGCCTAAGTTTAAATCGCTCTCCTGTGAAGGGAATAATATCATACATGTAGGCCCAAAAGCTGGGGCAATCTAAAAGAGTCTGATTCATTCTTTCCCTCGCTTCAGTCGTAAATACAACTGAGAAAATTTGACACGTCTTGTGCTATGGGTGCTGCTGAGCCCCAGTGTGTCCTGAATTGAGTCATCTTCACTGAAATTTCATATACGGCTTTATCTGATTGTCATCTACCCAAACACTTCCTGTTATATTGACAACACTGATAACCAGCTTTGAGGAATAGTTGGTTAGCACTAGTTCTTGGAATCAATATTTGAATATCTTTTAATCAAGGGAAGTGCTTTTTTGAGAAAGACGCAGATGGTATTTTTTTTCTCGAAATTGGTTTATAATGGTCTGTTTATATTGTATAACACATAGCCAATGTATACATTTTGTGCATTTGGTCTTTTATCTAATGAAATTGTTAAAAAATCATTCTTTAACCGCAAATTTGATCAAAGAAGAGATGTAACTGGTGGAATGCGTATTAAAATGCTTGAAGCATGCTCTCATGAAACTATTTTGGCCAGTTGATATGTAACAAAAACATAAGATCACTCGTTCAATTTAATACAGTCATATCAAGACCACAACAGGGAAGAGCTTAGCTCTTAAATGCTACCTTCGATTTTCAAACAGGAAGGGTTTTTTCGTGTTGAGAACTTTGCCCCCGTCCCTCTCGAACTGTGGCTAAAAGTAGCATAGGTCCCAGTGTGAGAGACTTTCTGCGAGCTGCAGCTCTTAAATTTCCACCTCATTCATATTTCGGAAAAGTGCGTGGGTTTGTCTGCAAGCGGACGTGTCAATAACACTCTCAAAATGAGAGTTTATACATGCTGATGAAGATGCAGTGGCACGGCCAGCGCTCGCCACCAAAACCACACGGCTTTCAACTTCTGACGCCACCCTGGAAATATGATGCATCTTTGCACTAACATACAAACGCTGTTTTCAATTACCAGAAGTGTGAGAGAGAAAAAACATCTGTGATTGTTTATATGAGTATCCATGTGTGTCGCATAAAAGAAATGACTATAGATGTCACATTTTAACCAACCCCCTGCAATCTAACACTAAAAACTCACTCATTCACTTGTTATTCTGATGTACTGCAGAAATGAAGAACCGAAAACTTTAACCGAAATAAAAGAGACCAGAGGCTGTTGAGTCAATACACATACATATACTGGAATATGGATTTTTCCAGCACACATTAGAGAAAAAAGAAATATTTCTTGCAAAATGAAAGTCAAATGGACAATCTAACCACAAGGTAACAGCGTCATATCTCATGTGACTAACTACTGTTACTGACATCAGCATTCTCCGTAACTGAAATATTGCAATAATACCAGAAATCAATTTGGCAACAGTCATTAGATTGAAAGGGGAAGTGAGATGTTATTTTTACAAGCAAAATTTGCATTTCAGCCACATCAGGAGAATCAGTTATGTGAAATTTACATAAACTACATACAAATTCACGTTTACAGTTAAGTTATGGGAGATGATCCATAATCATGCCTTAAAGGGACAGTTCACCCAAAATAATGCGAATTCTGTTATCATTTACTCGTCCTTGTGACGCTCCAAACCCTTTTAGATTTTCAGTGGAACACAAAAGTAGAATTTTTGAGAACTGTTAAGTAACTTTTGCCACAGAGTGACCACCATAAAAATAGTCAGTATGACTGAAGTCATATGATAGCCTCTGGTAAACTATGAACTATAGAGAAATGTTCTCTACAATGTGTATTTCCACAAAGAATAACACCACACAGGCTTGAAATGACAAGAGGAGGAGTGAATCATGAGGCACACGTGCTGCCGTGTGTCTTACCTGTTTTGGTGAATTCAGCTCCTGCTTTTTCTTTTCACAGTCTTCTAGTTCTCCTTCTCCAACATCAACCTCTCCTCGAGGGTCCAACACTAAAACAAAGCCCAGCATACTAGTTACACACAAATGAAGGTGTAAGCACGCACATACATCAAAAGAATGTATACACAGTGATTGAAACTTTCTGTTAGTGGTCAGTTTTTCAGTGGCTAACGTAGATGCAGGTGTCTAGAAAGGAGGCCGGTTGATCGCCTATATAAAGGTGATATAATTCTTCAGTGATATCAATTCAAAGCTTTTTATGAATACTGATTTTAGGAACAGAGAGATAGAGGTCTTTTCCAGAGACACCACAGAAAATCAACGGTGAATTTTCAGCATCTTTTGGAAAGCAATTGGGTAACTATAGAACTGGTTCACCCAGAAATAGATATGCAAATTCTGTCAAATGTCAGTATTAATTATATACCAGTGAAGTATTTATTAACATTTTGAATTAGCTTTTTGTTTTTATATTTTCAGTTTTCATTTTATTTTTTAGTTTAAGTTTGAGTAATTTTGCTGCATTCACTTTTATTAGTTTTTAGGATTTTTAAAAAATATTTATATATAACTTTAGTGAATTTTTATTTCAGTTTTAGTTTGAATAATTGTAGCACTTCAACTTCAACATTTCATTTTAGTTTTCTTTTTTTAATTTAAGTTTGGATCATTTTGTCATGTGCTTTTGTCACTTTTATTAGTTCTTACGGTTTTCTATATAGATTTACTGAATTTGTATTTCAGTTTTAGTCATTTCAGTACTTCAGCTTATGCCGAAATGCTGCCAAGACGACATTTCTAGTTTTCAAGTTTTTCAAGTTCAAGTTTTTCATCTAATATTTATATAGTATTGTATTTCAGCGTTATATCAGTTACTGAAAATTTGTAATTGCTTGAGTTTTAGTTAACAACACCACAGTATTCAAAATGTCTTTTTTTTTTTTATTTTGCATTCAACAGAAGAAAGAAAGAACGTACTGGGTGAACTGTCCCTTTACAAACAGCATTCACACTTATTAGATCTACATAAACATCCCTCACCCCTACACTCTTAAAAAAAAGCTGAGGTACAAAGTTGTAAATTGGGGTATACCTAAAATACTTACAAAATACCTACAAAAGCTAAAAGGTACATCTTTGTACCTTATTTACACTAAATGGTACATATTAGTGTTTTAAAAGTACATAAAGTGAACATATTAGTACCTTCTGAAAGGGTATCGGCCCAGTGAGAGTGTATCCCGTGAATCCCAATGACATTAAATATCAAAATCAGCTACTAATTTAGCTCACTGTTTACCCAGCATCTGCTTTATAAAATGCCGTTTTGAATCTGAAGTATTGAATTAAATGGGCGTGTAAGACAGAAAGAAAGAAAGAAAGAAAGAAAGAAAGAGAGAGAACATTCTAATATGAAACCACATGATTACAACACTACTTCCTGTCTGTATGCATAAACCACAGCTATGTGATACTCTGCTCGAATATAAAAATAAGCATTTGTGAGCTGTCTAACAAAACTGACACTCCAATGCGTCCTCTGATTATTATAAGATCTATATCTTGCATAAACTAACCAGTCGTGTGTTTATTACACAGTCTTTTATCATTCAGACATCAGTTCAGCCAATTCAACACCGCTGTTTGTTTTGAAATAACTGGATTGTGGAGGTGAATGTGCAGTGACTCCATTTTTATAACCTTTCTTAGAGCTTTGTATTTCTTTAGGAGGTGCAGGAGAGGACACCATCGTCACACTGAACTTTCGGTGGCCAAATTTCAGGTCAAAAATGGCACACGGGCGAGCATATCAAGTCGTCTACTGTTCAGGCATCTGCTGTGAATAGTACCACCAGCACAATGCAACCATCAGGCACCTGACAGCATCTTATTTACAAACCACACAAGCATTGAATTATAGGTTGGCTCTGGGCAGCCTCTACCTCAAAGTCTCCACTTCCCTTTCTCATAGCCTCCTCACCGCCCTCTACACTCATATCTCAGTCTGTAACATCCAGCAACGCTTCGCTTTCGAGATCAGACGCTTCCTGTGCCAGGGCACTCAACAGGCTTCTGTTATTTTACTTCCCCTTCTGAGCCACAGTGCAGAAAGATTGTGACAAGTTGGACTGATATTATCACTGGTGCGATAGCAACTTCTGCATTGTTTCTGGCAGCCTGCTATTGTTCGGATGGTGCAGATGGGATAAAAAGCAAATGAATTATTTCATTGAGCATCACTACAAACATCAGAAGAGCTTAAACTTCGGCGTATCTTCTGATGAGCATGAATTTGTCATATCCTGGATTGTCTCACAAATAAAGCCATAACGTGCGATAACATCACAATGTGATATCGTCTTAATGTCACAAACAAACGGACGATACAACGTTATCAACGCAGCGAAACATATGTGTGATGTTCGAGAAAGCTTCCTAAACAGAAATGGCCTGTGATGTTTGGCTAATAAGCTTATCTGGCCTATTCTCATCAGTTTGCTTGTCAGTGTATCAGAGGGGTTTTACGCTTCAACAGCAATGTGCTGCTATTTCTCTAAACCACTTCCTCAAAGAGCAAAACCTGTTATGGTTACTCATATCTAGTCCTTATTACTGTCACTCAAATGACTACAAATGACAGTAATAGCCATTATGGTAAACCAATTAACATCCCTTCCTTCCAAAAAGCTAATATTTCATCTTATGATACTAATACTTATTTTCAGTGTTGGGGGTAGCTCATTACAAGTAATGCGAGTTACGTAATCAGATTACTTTTTTCAAGTAATTAGTAAAGTAACGCATTACTTTTTTAATTTACAAGAAAATATCTGAGTTACTTTTTCAAAAAAGTAATGCCAGTTACTCTGTTTTCCCATTTATTGACAAACAATCAAGCCCTGCTTATATTTAAAAAGTAGGCTAACGCGAAAGTAACGCAAAAGTAATATAACGCATTACTTTCCATAAAAAGTAACTAAGTAACGTAATTAGCTAATTTTTTTAGGGAGTAATGCAATATTGCAATGCATTACTTTTAAGAGTAACTTTCCCCAACACTGCTTATTTTATCTACTACTGAATAATTAAATAGTGATTAGTATCTTTTCTCTTTAGTATCTATCAGTTTTACTAGTAGGCTACCTATTCATTAGGCTACTATCCCAGTTTTTCTTCTAAGATTTCCTATAAGATTTTGAATTTAATTATACAGTAGCTAATCTGACATTAGATATCATTATATATGTCATTATAGTTATTATATATGGCAAGTAGAAATACAATTATAATTATAATTAGTGAGATAAGAAATAGCGTCTCAGAAAAGGTTACTTTTGAAACTAAAAATAGCTACTAGTCACCATTAGATTACTGGTTTGTAAAGTTAAAAAGTGCTAAAAAAAAAAAAGTCATGTTAATTTTACACATTAGAAAGATATCGCTCCATTCATAGCAATATAACCGCTTACCCATTTTAGAAAAGCGCGTCGTCCTCACTCAGATGTAATATCAGGAGCGTGTGTTGACTGTCTGTCCTTCAGTCTCGCGTAAAAGTAATTGACAGCTCGCTCTCCAGCGCGCTCTGCCTCTCGTTGGACACTCGCTCTCTACAGGACTTCCTCACTCGAGTCAGACAGGAACCCTGGGACTCTGAGTCTTCTTGAGCGACTGTTTTTTTTTTAAGTAAGTTGGTTTACAGACTTCGTGTGCATGTTTCCGTTAATACGTTTCAGTATGTCTAACTGCAGTTTTGTACCGAGTCTTTAATCTTCCCTCAGAGTTTCAATTTTAAGATATGAAAAATAAATAAATTATTACATGTTTAAAATTATGATGATGTAAGAGCAAAATAAACCATTTCGATATTTAATGTGTGACAATTATTTATATCATTTTATACTGTCCCTCAATTATGGCATCGTTTCCACCGCAACAACGATTTTGAACCTAAATAGATTGAAACATGACTCATAATTTCGGCATGGTGGTTCATAATTTCTAGTTGAGCCATGATTTTGTCAATTTACGTTAATTATATTGACATAAATAACAGAATGCGCCAGTGATGCATGTTATTAGTGGGTTGCATATATTAAATTAGTAGTTCACCCAAAAATGAAAATTTGCTGAAAATGTACTCACCTTCAGCTCACGCAAGGTTTAGATGAGTTTGATTCTTCATCAGAACAGATTTGGAGAAATTTGGCATCCCATCACTTGCTCACCAGTGGATGCTGTTGCAGTGAATGGGTGCCGTCAGAATCCAAACAGCTGATAAAAACATCACAATAATCCACAAGTAACCCACACCACTCCAGTCCATCAATTAACGACTTGTGAACGAAAAGCTGCATGCTTGTAAGAAACAAATCCATCATTGAGATGTTTTTAATTTTAAACTGTTGCTTTCGTCTAAAATACAAGTCCTCTGTCCATAACACTGCTTTCGCCAGTGAAAAAATCGTATTGCCTGAATATACGCACAAATCAAGCACTGTTTACAAGCCAAAACAAGTACAAAAAAAAAAACCCACACAGTTCTAAACAAATAATTTGGTGAATGTTGATGTTACTGGAGGAAGCATTACTATGGATTATGGACTCCATGATAACATATTTTGGCCAGAAGCAATTGTTTAAAGTTGAAATGCCTTATTGGATATGTTTATTTCAAACACACAACTTTCTGCTTCACAAGATATGAATTGATGGACTGGAGTGGTGTGGATTACTTGTGGATCATTGTGATGTTTTTATCAGCTGTTTGGACTTTCATTCTGACGGCACCCATTCACTGAAGAGGATCTACTGGTGTGCAAGTGATGTAATGCTACATTTCTCCAAATCTGTTCCCGTGTAGCAATGGCTTGGCACTCCAGCGATCACATAACCCTGGCAACCATTTAGAACAGTCTCGAGATTGCATAACCCGGGGACAATCTAGAACACTCTAGAGATCGCATAGCAATGTCATGGCACCCACCCAGAACACTCTAGAGATTGCATAACCTTGATAATTATCTAGATTCTACACTCTACACTCTAGATATAATAAGCTGTGTCTCATTTAGAAGGCTGCGCCCTCCGGAGGTCGAATCCTCTGGCCTCTGGATCCTCTGTAGGATGCATATACGAAGTGTCCTCAACCTAGAATTAAACGAGACGGCCTTAGTAGGACAGGCGGAAAAGGAAACAGGAAGTATCACGTTGCTATTAGTGATGATTTTTTACCAAGGGGATGTAAGGTAAGTTGTAAACACCACATCTGTGCTTGTGTGTGCATCTGCCGGTGCCGGCATTTTTCAAATTAAGAATGGTTGTTTACGGCGACGCAAAGAATTGTGGGTTATCTGTAGCAGCGAAGGATACACCTCATGCATCCTCCGAATTCCTGTGAAAGAAGGTCGCATACGAAGGTTGCATTCGGAGTGTCCTACACTCTAAAAAATGCTGGGTTAAATACAACCCAGTGCTGGGTAAAATAGGGACAAACACAGAAATTTAGAAGGCTGCGCCCTCCGGAGGTTGCATTCGAAGGCTGCGTACGTCATCGAGACTGTCTCATTTCAGAAAAGCAAGTACACTCTAAAAAATGCTGGGTTTGTCCCTATTTTACCCAGCACTGGGTTGTATTTAACCCAGCATTTTTTAGAGTGTACTTGCTTTTCTGAAATGAGACAGTCTCGATGACGTACGCAGCCTTCGAATGCAACCTCCGGAGGGCGCAGCCTTCTAAATGAGACACAGCTCATAGTGTAGCAATGCCTTGGCAACCACCCAGAACACTCCAGGGATCACATAACCCTGGCAACCATTTAGAACAGTCTAGAGATTGCATAACCCTGGCAACCATTTAGAACACTCTAGAAATTGCATAACCCTGGCAACCATTTAGAACATTATAGAGATTGCATAACCCTGGGAACCATCTAGAACACTCTAGAGATTGCGTGGCAATGCCTTGGCAACCACCCAGAACACTCTAGAGATTGCATAACCCTGACAACTATCTAGAACACTCTAGAGATCGCATACCCTGGCAACCATTTAGAACACTCCAGATAGCGTGTAGCAATGCCTTGGCATGTTTGTAAGAAACAAATCCATCATTGAGATGTTTTTAATTTTAAACTGTTGCTTTCGTCTAAAATACAAGTCCTCAGTCCATAACATTGCTTTCGCCAGTGAAAAAAATCATATTGCCTGAATATACGCACAAATCAAGCACTGTTTACAAACCAAAACAAGTAAAAAAAAAAAACACACACAGTTCTAAACAAATAATTTGGTGAATTTTGATGTTAGAGAACAAGTGGGAATGGACATTTTGCACTGGAGGAAGCATTACTATGGATTATGGACTCCATGATAACATATTTTGGGCAGAAGCAATTGTTTAAAGTTGAAATGCCTTATTGGATATGTTTATTTCAAACACACAACTTTCTGCTTCACAAGATATTAATTGCTGGACTGGAGTGGTGTGGATTACTTGTGGATCATTGTGATGTTTTTATCAGCTGTTTGGACTTTCATTCTGACGGCACCCATTCACTGAAGAGGATCTACTGGTGTGATGTAATGCTACATTTCTCCAAATCTGTTCCCATAAAGAAAGAAACATCTGCATCTTGGATGGCCTGAGGCTGAGTAAATGTAAAGAATGAAAATGTTCATTTTTGGGTGAACTATTCCTTTAAGATTAATACAGAAATTTGAAAAATGTGTTTTTCTAAAACTCTGCACAAGTGCCTGTAGATTACTGAACACTCTTAGATTGCAGGATTAAAAACCTGTCAGACACATACTGGAAACGTATGAGAAAGGGGTTTGCCCTGACGCAGAAGAGCACTGGTGAAAGTACTGTTCTCAGTTTTTCCCCTTTGTATTTGTTATGAAAATGATCACCAGGACAGATGTATTGTGCTAAGCCAAACCTCAAAAACTGTAAAAAGGGGACAGAACTATATTTTAGCATAACAAAAAGCGTGCACATCTCTGTTCTGCAAAGGAGATGAGAAGTAATGAAAATAAAAAAGAACACAACAACTGAAACATCTGAATACTTTCAACCATCAACAGCTGTTTTCTGTGTAATTTTTTTTCCGAAGTTGTAAATAAAACAAAGATTATTTGAATATGTTGTATACAAGAAAATACTATTTTAGTTTTTCTACTTCAAAATAATGCATTACTTTAATTACGTTAATTGTTTGTGAAATTCGCTAGCAATTTATGAGTGTAAATTGTTTTTACAACAATTTTAAATTTTAAAACAATTTTACTAGTAAAGTAAAGTGTATAGCAGTTATTAAACATAATGCACTTAATGGTTTTTACCTTAGTTATGATGGAGATACACTTCATCAGACACTTCACACTAAATTACTGTTGTAACAGTTATTCAAACAATTAGCAAATTCTGCAAATTTATTTCAACTTCCAAGCACTTTTTGTCACTATAGTCTTAAACACCCCTCATTTTTATTAGAACTTTTACTAATTCTTACTAGAAAACTGAACAATTAATTTATTTTATTAAATATCATAATATTAATGTAACACTAAAGCTATATTTAAACACATAATGATGACTGTCCTATTAACCAGGTTTTTGTAGGAAAAAATGATGTAAATCTTTCTGTCAATTAATTAGAAATATAAGTTAACTCCATTAACTACAAACTAGCCTTTGGTCCCAAACTAGCTAGTGATATTTGATTCGTGGCATGCATTGGTTAAATTGCCGTAAATGTAATGTTTATTGCTACAAGATTACAAAAAATACTTAGCAATTAACATTTTCTCTTTTTTTTTACATTTCAGCAAAGAGACATGGGTTACATGGTTTAGATTTTGGGCTGCGCAAGAAGACTGGACTACAGGACTCATAGTGACTTAAGAATTGAAGGGGTTTAAGGACATGTGACCATTGTTAAAATAATAATAAAAGATTCAGGAACATTGTGTTTCAAGCATGATGCTATAGACATATAATTTAATGTCAAAATGTTGGGAAATGCCGCGCTAAATGCAAAACACCACCATTACAGCCATTGTTTTGTCATTAATTGACCATGATTATATAGTGCGGGTGTTTTGTACATATTTAACATGAACTATAAAAAAGAACACCGGAAAGCCCCATCATGAAAATGTGTCTTTGTTTTGAAGCTGTCAGATGTTATGTACCGGCATGATATCTTAGAGCGCTCGTGAACTAGTCTTGCTGTCGAAGTTTCGAATGTGTCGTTTATGGATGGGGCCTCTCTCACCTGCTCGCATAGTCCCTGACATTTAACCATATTTAACCTTTAAATGTCACAATAACAGTTTTCAGCCCAGAGCCAATCGCTCTGAGGGAGTTTCTCAGGTGAAATATTAGACAAAACATCCGTCCTCCCTGTTATTGGGAGTGAAAGCGTACATACAGTATCTCAGCCTGTGCACGATAATCCGGTGTAGCCTATATTACAACGCTCCAAGATTATTTATTTTGGGGAGTAAGAAATTGCTTATGTTGATATCAGACGAAATGGAAATTAGGGAGTTTATGACTTG